CCCCAAAACCCCAAAACCCCAAAACCCCAAAACCCCTCCTTTTAATGCAGATATTGAGATAAATTATAAGAATATTAGTAAAATTTCCTACTTTGGGCATTCGCAAGTGTGTTCGCCCGCAGGTTCATGTCATTCAGGCTATTCACAGCCCCAGTAGGAGGATCTTTCTTTTTAAGAATTCCCTTCAACGGTGTTCTTGAGACTGCATCTCCAGGACCAGAGAAGATGTTCAGCTTGGAAACATTATCTCTCATCCTCTGTGAGTAAGAAAGATTAGGGATCGAGCTATCTCCTTTCTTTTCTTCTTTTTTCACAATATTCTGAGCAGCTGCAGTAGTTCTGAATTTACTCAGAAAATTTGTTGGGGGATTTGGATTCCCCACAGGAGCAGGAGGAGCAATTGGCTTATACTTCTCAGCCAAAGATAGCTTCTTTGGAGCTGCACTATAGAGGAAGTTTTCCTTCTTAAATCTGTCAAGTCTCATCCTATCCTTCGCCTTGATCTTGGTCTTCATTTGTTTAATAGCACTTTTAAAAGGAATTGGCTGCTTGGTTGAAATAGTCTCTGTATCTGATCTAACAATTCTAGGAAGACTAGTGGTTGTCCGATCGCTAACAGTACTTGTCCCACCAGGAGATGAAACTCTCTCAAATATTTTCTTAGTCCCTTTGATCTTCAAGTATGGTTTCTTAGGGTGTCTTCCAACGACTAACGATTCCTTTTTATTCAGCTGTGGCCTATCTAAACTTCTCATCGAAAGCTTAGGTAAGGAATGATTATTCTTACTCCTTGAGAGTCCAGGATTTCTCTTTGGCGTATTTAAGTATCTTAGATTGCTCTTAATATAATTATTCTTCCTGATAACTGGGTTTGCTAGCTTAAGAGTTGATGCAATGTGCTTGGTACTTCCAACTCCTGTAGGTATACTTGCTTCGCTTGTGCTATCATGTGCTCCTCTATTCTCAATTCTGACATTAACACTTCTGTTCCTGTTTTTATTGGAATTCCCTAAGCCAGCGTTTGTATAGGTGATGGAGGGAAAAGACATCTTCATTCTCTTCTGGATATCTTCAGCAGTCTCTAAGGTTTCTTGCTCTATAATGAGCTCCATTTTGCTCAACTGAAGTTGCTTCTTAGTCTGTGAGATTACTTCATCTCTGACTGTGAGCAGTTCCTGAAGGTATTTAAGTTCCATATCTTTGGCCTTTGCTTTTCCTTGTTCAATTTCCTCCTGATTTTTGAGATTAATGTTCTCTATTATAGTAGTATGGTTCTGAGAAGTCACCTGTATCATTGCAAGATGTAAATCCTTTATTTTCTTCTTCTTTATAAGCTGGGGTAACTTTTCTCTGTATTTCTTAAGTCCATTCCATGCATTATTTAGTTTTATTCCTTCGCTTCATTAGCTTTTTCTATCAGCTTTTGTTCAGTTTTAATAGCTTCTTCAGCTTGCTTAGTCTTGACATGAGTCTTGCCTAATTCTTTGTGGCATTTCTCAAACTCAGTCTTATGTTGAAATAGCTTTATACTCGATTCGATCAAAATTCGTTCATTTTCTTGATAATTTTTCCTGTTTTCGACCTCTTTTTGGTGATTTTCTTCCATTTCCTTTCTGAGTTGATCAAAAGCCTTTGTGTCCTTATCATTTTTGGGAGGTTTACTCATGCTACTGTCAAGCTCTTGAGTGACTAGCTCCTCCTTCAACTGGTTAACCTGCTTATTTTAAGCTATTAATGATCGATTGGTACTTGCTAACATGGAATGAAACACTCAGAACGTTCCTTTTCACATCAGTTTTGATATTCTTGGCTCTACTTGCATATTTAAGGGTATTACTTGTCTCTTCATAAGCGGTATTTCAAGGTGAAACATTGGCGATCATAACTGTTCGGCTATTTCCTCCCAGTGAGTCCTTTAAAAGTCTTGTCAGCTTGGAGTCCCTGAAGGGAATATATTTCTTACTTTTCTTCTCACTGTTCTGATACAGCAAGGTAATACAGTTACCTAATGCGAGTAAAGACCGGTTGATATTTGCTCCTTCAACCAGCCTGATTCCTGTATTATTGGTGTTAGAGGCCCTCTCAGAGCCTGCAAGATCAATCAGGGAGAACTTTCCAACCTTAACTTCAGCTTCTGTGCCTGAATCTCTTTCTTTATGTTCAACTGTGACTAGAAGCAAGGCATGGGATCTTGAGCTCTCATTATTAGCATCAGTAGCTTCTGTGCTCCTGTTCTGATTACCCAAATGAAGAAGTTCCAGAACTTCAGTTGTACTCTCAGCTCTCACTTCTGAAATTCCAGCAACGTGGATCCCCTTAGTGGCATCTTCTCTAAGCTCGAGGGGCTTTTCATTTTGAAGGAGAAGGTCGAATATCATTTCATTATATATTTCAATAAAGCTCATCTTGATTTTGAAATCTTTGTCCTTACTACTTTCCTCCATTTGTTTGAAAAGCTCTTCGAAAGCATTTCCAAAGATACCTTTGTCACTGGGAGTGCCAAGCATAGTGTAGGTCTTACCTGCTCCAGTGGCTCCGTAGGCAAACACAGTGGCATTATACCCATCGAGAACTCCTTCGAGGAGGATCTGCGTTGTTTTATCAAAAACTATCTTCTGTTCAGTATTCTCATCAAAAACATAATCAAAAGCGTATTGTTTCTCCTTAACTCCGCCGGAAGCTTGATTTGAAGCAAAATCTCCATCACCATGAGTGGTTGAGGGATCCTGAACTACGATAAATTTATCATCCATGACCTTTACTATTGGGTAAAGCTCTTTCTTCTGCTCTGTTTTAGAGATAGGCCTGACTCTCACTGCCACCATAATATTGGCTTCTCCGCTTTGGAGGCCTTTAACATGGTTATCAGTCTCTTCTTCAGCAAGTTCGCTAAAATAAGATGCATCATCTCTAAGACTATGGGTTAGACCAGATTTGGGTCTCTTAATGTTCTTCAAAAACTCTGAGGCTTTTGACATTTTCTATTGATAATTTTATAATAGAAAATTTCCTAAATTTAGGGGTTTTGGGGTTTTGGGGTTTTGGGGTTTTGGGG